TGAAACAATTTCACTTAAAAATAGTTATGAAATGGTAAATTCGATTTAGTTCTGATTTTACAGCGATTTCGTACACTCTTTCTAATGCTACTTGAATCATTTTGAAAGGAGTTTCCCAAATAGGCGATAAACAAATAAGAACGACCACCTGTTGCATGTCTTTGCAGTCGGTTCTTACAACTATTGAGGTTAAACGTTTGATCATCTCATAATAATGGTCATCTATTAATGCAAGAAAGATTGTGTCTTTGCGTTTCTGTGGCCCTAACTTAAAACACAGCCTTAAACACTTTTGGGTTCCGACATGGGTTGGGTCTGTGGGCATTGTTCAACATGTACGTATGTACTCAAGTACATTATTTACACACAATATATCCCACTCCATGTGCTTGTATATACATGGGCAGAGCTGCTTGACAACGTTCGTTGCCGTTCGTCGTTGCCGCCTCTGTCAACGTGTTTGGCATTTGCAATTAGACACACAGAACCCCCCAAGATGGGGGTTATGGCGGGAACTGAAGAAGAATCAGCTTCAAGCACAAGACTGGAGAGGGGACTGTCGTGCATGACAGGAATTCCAAATGCGATAAGCTCAGAATGCGTTTGGAATTCCATTTTGCAGCCAGAGTAGTATCTTTCCGTCTCTTTTCGTCTTGTATTTTTCTTCTTGTTTTGTAACATTTTGTGGCTGGAAATCTATTAAATATAAAATAAAAGTTGAAACTTTTAGTTTTATTTATTATCGAATACCTACATTTGTTGTTTTTGTTGTTGTTCTTTTCAGTTTTGTTTTGGTTGTGCTTCGGTTTTGTGCTCTCTTCCCTCTGTTGTTGTTTCTGTCGTTTTTTAAGTAGTTTTCCATAAATAACAGGTTGAACGCCCATGGCCACGACAGCTGTTGGGTGGGCGTACTTCTTGATCAGGTGCCACCCGCATTCACAGTACAGTATCCATATATATGTATGTATGTACATACATTATAACCAGATCTAGAGATCATAAAAGAACATTAGAACTCACGGGATATTTAGCATTATGTACTTGCACATGTACATGTTCTTTTAGTGCTATCCAATCCGTTTTAAGTTGAAGCGAGTTCGTCTACCCGATTTTCCTGTCAAAGATCCATCCACCCCATTCGCAGGAAGAGGGCTAAAGCAATTTAATTCGAATTCTAGACAAAAAATTCAACGGGCTTTGCCTTCGTCGTGAACAATTTACATATACACACAGCAGAAGGCAGATAATGTTATTTTATTTCGAGTTTTTTTTATATTTATTTTCGCTGATTTTTGTAGTGGATCGAATTTTTACGACGCATTTTGCGCTAGACAAAAACGGTGGCGGCAGGCAGAGGTGGCATATTTTAAAAGTTCATCCACACAAAATCGAAAATAACAAATAACAAAAAAAAGAGCATGTAAAACAATTACGGTAAAGGATAAAACGTGCGTTGACCTTTGGACGTGAGAGAGATGACCATATATGTACATAGATACATATGTACATATATACATATGTACATACATACATATGTACATATATACATATGTACATACATAAATATGTACATATATACATATGTACATACATACATATTTACATACTTACATATGTACATACATACGATGGAAAGACAGAAATATAAAGAGTAAACGAATTTCAGAAAAGTTTTAGATCGAATAGTAGAGAAAAAGAGACGATAGTGAAACCACAGTGAAACTACTAACAAGGTGACGTCGTCAGCTGAGTGGAGCATCGTAAAATTACTGACTGATTACAGCTGACGACATTACCTATTAGTAATTCTACCTCGGAGTGGAGGAGCACCAGCTTATTCACCACGATCTCTCAGCTCTCAGAGAGGCAAGCGCTAGAGAGAGATAGCAAACGTTTATTACTAATTTCACCATGATTTTACTATGAGCTGCTGTTCCTCGAATAAGAAGGATGTGGTTTAGCAAAGAAAATATAAATATCAGTCAAAGAAAAGAAAGGAAGAAATCTTGAGAGGTGGAAAACGGATTACTAAGCCGAAAGTACTCTCACAAAGCAATCTAGAGCAAAGAGAAAATGCACCACCCTTGCTCGGCGCTCAAAGAAGCAAGCGCTAGAGATAGCAAACGTTTCTAAGTAATTTCACCATGAGCTGGTGGGCCTCGAATGAGTAGGCACTGTGGTGAATCCATCACTTATTACTATTTTCACCTCCTAGAAACTCTTGAGTTATCTATGTATGTATGTACATATGTATGTAAGTTTGTCGTATGTGCATGCTTTATAATGCTGTTTTAATTGCTCGCTAACTGGAGGTCAATAATTTGTTTTATTTTTGTTTTAAACTTCAATTGAAATTCATTTCCTCATGGCATCAGCAGCAACACACAAAAATGAACCTTATTCGAATTTCATTTTCAACTTGAAAACATGTTTGTGCATATGTACATGTGTGTTTGTTTGTGTCTATACGAATAAGTATGTGTGTATTTAATTATAAAGCATTTTACAATTCGCCTTGACCTTAACACAATAAAATAAATTACAACTATGTATGGCAAGCAATTGCAACAACATCCATACAGAGCGGAAGAAGGAGATGATCATGTAAACGAAAGAAGGAGAGGGGGCAGAAGCAAGTACATAAGCTGAGACGGAAAGAGAGGCCAATATTTAAGGTAGCTTTTTTTGTACATACAAACATACATACATATGTACATACAGTAAGCACACATATTATTAGTACATCATCACCCTAGTTTGAACAATTATATCTTGGCGCACGGTCAACGTAATCAGAAAAAGTTAATTTTGTATCAAAGATCAACATACCTATCTACTATCTGTGTATGAAAAAAGTTTTTAATTTTCTTCTATGGTATTAAAATTTTCTGTTTACGTTTACCGTACGCCAAGTTATAGGGGTACAAACTTTGGTGATGACGGTGTACAAATAATATGTGGTCTTACTGTATGTACATACATATGTACATAAATTGTACATACATATGTACATACATATGTAAATACCTATGTTTGCAAAAGCAAAAAATTGTAAAAAATGTATAATGTAAAAATATCATGTAAATATCATCATGTTTGCGGCATAAGTCGTGTCAGGGCGTACCCAGGGGCACCGCCTGGTCTCTATTAACCGATTAATAAAATGAATGGCATGAGAGGTATTTTGCAGTCATTTCAAAAACGAAATATGAACTCGTAAAATCAGCAAAACAAACAATCAATTAAATTGAGATTAAACAAATTATTAACAAAAAATGTTAAGCGTTTTAGGCGCCCCAAGGCTCTTAACGTTCATAGCAGCGTAGCGCAAAACTTTCTTAAACGCTGCTCGTACATCGATTGCCATTTCAAGTGTCCCCAGAGTCCAGCTGTGCTAAGACTATCAAGAAAGGAATGCTAGCTTCCTTTTCTGATGAACCGAAAGCCCGTAAAAATCATGATATATTCTTAAAGGGCATATTAATGAAGCCGTTTTCTCCGTAGTACTACGACTTTTGTCCGCCACTGTATGCAAGCGATAGATCACAATATGTACATATGTATGTGTACAAGTTTGCGCGTGCATGTTGAGTGTGTGACGACAGTTAGAATTTATGCGACAGCGCTGCAACTGCGCTGCAGGGGTGGCCATGACCAACAGAGCCAGCAGCCCCTCTGCTCTGTCCAGTAAATGGCAGCAACAGGGCTGTGCATGTAATAGCGCTAACACACACACACACATGCATACATATACACACATGGTGATAAACTGGTACTGGTACTTGGCTAAATATGAACATTAACTAATATGAAGGGCTGTCCGGCATCAACCAGCTCACCCACACACACGGTCCACAAACTGCAGCCTTGATCTTGATCAAAGACGAACGTCGCAGCACAAAACTACAACACCATCAACAGTGACAGCCGTTAAATGCCGCTGCTTTTGTTGCTGTTGCTGTAGCTATTGCCATATTTTGCTGCACTTGTTTTTTGATTTAAAGCCAAAAGACAACTTTGCGACCAGCTGGTCGCTAGCCTTGTCTTGGTCCGTTTCGTCTTTTCGCGCACTTGCACTTGCACTTGCATTAGCTTTTTTCATTTGTTATTTTCAATTATAGGCTATTCAAAGCACCCTAAACATTAAAAGTCACCTCCTTAAAACTAACGAAATGCTCATCACTGTCCAGTCTTTACCCATTCTATTTCTTGGAATTCCTTCACATATCGCTGTTTCACTCACAGAACGGCAGCAAAGAGGACACAAGAAATTGCGTGTTAGCTTCTCTCCCAGCCCAGCCTCCAATAATGAGAATGAGCAAAAGAAAGAGTGTGTCTTGCGCTGCTCAAGTAGTTGAAAACGGAGTGGGAAGAATAGGGCAAGATGCGCGAGTAACGAGGAAAAGAAACCGCGCAAGTGTGCTCTTTTTGGTAGGGTTATTCGTTTCTGTCCGTTGTCCGAATAAATATCCTCATATTATTATACCTTGAAAGCCACATATTAACAAAAGTTTGCATGTAGCAACTGCTTCTTTTTTTTGCTGCTTTGACAGATACATATGTACATGTGCATATATTTATGTATGTGGACTTAATTATATTTCTTTCTAGGCTTGCAACCTAAGCTGTGGTCTTTATTTTACATTTGAATGTGTGTAAATATTTAAAAACATAAAAGTGAGCCACCTGCACTGCTCAGCTGTTGGGGTTACAGTTACTCCTGAAATCACTCAATCGCTCATCCCAACGAACACACACACTTAAACACTTCTCTCAAAAGGGAGATCGCTGCTTGGTAATCTCGGGCATTCTCTCATTCCTTTTACAGTTACGCAACGGTCAACGTGGCCTTTTTCGGCAGTTTTTCGTTGTAATTCTTTGGGGCCTATTTTTTCAAATTTGTTTTAGTAAATTTACAAATAGATCGGTTCTATATTATGTGTTTAATTTTCTTTGAATATTTGACTAATATTTTGTGTTTCTCTCGTTTTTTTTTGCAGAAAAATTTGGTTGCTTGAGGCCGGCAGACTTGTTGCAGCGCCTGAGCTGCACCACCACCAACCACACCACCACCAGCAACATAGCCACAACCACACCCACACCTACGCCCACACCAATACCCACGCCCCCCGCATTAGCCACAAAAGACTGCGACGAGAACTCTCCAGAAAAATCCGTAACAACAACAGTAAGCAGCAGCAGCATACCAAAGCAGCCGACGCCGCAGTCGACGGCGGCAGAGAGGAGCAACAGCGAAGTATATGTAGAAGAAGAGCCCAATATAAAAGCGCAAAAAGAAGATAAGCAAAAAGAGCGCCCATTAGTAGAGGCGGCTGAAGAAGAGGAGGAAGACGGCGACGTTGACGTTGGTATTGAAGCACCTCGCCCGCGCTTCTACAACACAGGCATCGTCCTCACGCATGCACAGCGGAAGGAGTACCCCAAGGAGCACCAGCAAGAGCAGCCGATCCTCGTCAGAGCCAGAAAAGAAAAGGAACATCACTCGAATGTGGACTCTGACACAGACTCAGATGACGGCTGCAAGTTGATTGTAGACGAGAAACCCTTGCTGCCCGTTGACAAGCCGCTGTCGCTGCGTATGCGCAGCACCCCGCCCCCCGCAGAGGAGCGTCCCAGTCCACCGCCCCCAAGGGAACCGACGCCCGCTGTCCGCTGCAGCGTGATCCAACGCGCACCACAGACCACGACAGCAGCCGTAGCTACTGCAGGTCACGCCGACTCCCCGCATCATCAATGTCAGAATCAGCATCCGGATCATCAAACGCCCCAAAGAAGCGTTCTATTGCCCATTAGTGCCCTCGATCTTGACCAACTGGGACCGGAGCAGCAGGAACCCATTGACTATCACGTGCCGAAGCGTCGTAGCCCTAGCTACGACAGCGACGAAGAGCTGAACGCCCGTCGGCTAGAGAGAGCGCGCCAGGTGCGCGAGGCCCGCAGGCGGAACACGATCTTGGCAGCCCGCGTACTGCTGGCCCAGTCTCAGCGCCTTAATCCACGCCTGGTGCGTAACTTGCCCGGCATATTGGCCGCAGCCGCCGGTCACGGGCGTAGCAGCAGCAGTTCCGGTGCAGCCGGACAGGGCTTTCAGTCGTCCGGCTTTGGCAGCGGCAGCAGCTCGGCCGGATCGGGCAGTGGACAGAACGCCAGCGGTGGTGCCGGTTCGCCGGGAGGCGGCTTTGGAGGTGCCCTTGGCGGCAGCGGAGCCGGAGGCGGTGGCATGGGCGGAGGCCGTGACGGACGAGGCAACTACGGTCCCAACTCACCCCCCACGGGGGCTCTGCCACCATTCTACGAGAGCCTGAAGAGTGGCCAACAGAGCACTGCCAGTAATAATACAGGCGGAAGTCAAACATCCGCAGGACACGGGGCAGGCTCCCAAGCAGTCTTTAACGGAAATCCCAACTTTCTTTCCATTCAGAACGCTGCTGCGGCGGCCTACATTATGTCAGCGGGAGCAGGAGTCGGCGGAGGTGGGGGAGGAGGCGGTGGCTACATCAATTGCGGATCAAACGGAGCAGGAGGAGGAGGTGGAAATGGCAATGGCAATGGCACTGCAAATGGAGGTGGAGGTACGGTTGGCGGTGGTGGAGCCGCATCTGCTGCAGGTATCGATGGTAATAACCTTTTGAACTTCGCTAGTGGCTTGGCCAGCAATCCTAACTATAACGAATCCAATTCCAAATTCCATAATCCAAACTCAACGATGGGTCATCCCTTTTACGGTGGTAATCCCTCAGCGTACGGCATTATACTCAAGGACGAGCCTGACATCGAGTACGACGAGGCAAAGATTGACATAGGCACCTTTGCACAGAACATCATCCAGGCGACGATGGGCAGCTCCGGGCAGTTCAATGCCAGCGCCTACGAAGACGCCATCATGTCAGATCTCGCCAGTTCGCAGTGCCCCAACGGCACTGTGGATCCGCTGCAGTTCACGGCAACGCTTATGCTCAGCTCCCAGACGGACCATCTGCTGGAGCAGCTCTCGGATGCCGTCGATCTGAGCTCGTTCCTGCAGCGGAGCTGTGTGGACGACGAGGGCTCCACCAGTCCGCGGCAGGACTTTGAGCTCGGTTCGACGCCCTCCTTGACGCCCGACTCGGTCTCTGTGACGCCCGTGGAGCATCACCATCATCATCACCATAGCAACCACCAGAGTGCGAGCACAGCATCCCAATTGGATGCCTTGCACGAAAATCTGCTGACGCAGTTGACCCACAATATGACACGCAATGGCGTTAACTCTCAGCAGCAGCAGCAACAACAACAACAACAGCAGCATCATGTGCAACAGCAGCAACAACACATACAACAGCAGCAGCAGCACGTGCAGCAGCAACATGTCCAGCAGCACGTGCAGCATGTGCAACAGCCGCCGCCTTCGTACCAGCATGCCACCAGAGGCCTGCAGATGATGCAACAACAGCAACAACAGCCGTCGCAGCACGGTAGCTACCAGCAGCAGTCGGCGTTGATGTCACAGCAGCAGCAGCAGTTGCTTAGCCAGCAGCAACAACAGTCGCACCACTCGCACCACCAGCAGCAGCAGCAGCAACATACCGCCGCCTACCAGCAGCACAATCTGTATGCCGCCCAACAGCAGCAGCAACACCACCACCAGCAGCAACAGCAGCATCACTCGCATCACCAATTCCATCAGCAACAGCAGCAGTCGCATCACTCTCACCATGTGCACCACCATGACAACAGCAACATGTCGCTACCATCGCCCACGGCAGCGGCTGCTGCTGCCGCAGCGGCCGCCGCTGCTGCTGCCGCAGCAGCCGTGCATCTAGCGCGTCCCATGAGCAGCAGCAGCAGCTCCGGTACAAACAGCAGCAGCAGCAACAGCAGCATGGACGCAAATGCAGCGGCAGCGGCTGCCGCCGCACTGCTCGACACGAAGCCACTCATTCAAAGCGTAAGTGTTCCACCTATTTTACAAGCACAACAATCCCTCCTCCAGCAGCAACAGATAAATTCTCCGCAAAAGCAGGAGCAACCACAGCAGGAGAAGCAACAAAAGCTGCTGAAGACAAAGAAGCCAACGAAGCTGTCGAGAGGCAGGTCCAGGAAGATGCCCCTTCCAATGGTACCCAAGGATATCGATTGCCTTATGGTCAAGGAAGATATGGAAGAAGTAAAAGAAGAGGTGTCAGACATAGACTATGATCCTGTAAGGAACGAGTGCAGCAACGGAGCAGGAGGCAGCAAGCTGAGTGGTCGGGCCAAAGCCGTGGCGTATGGCTCCACGATGATCACCCTTGTATCGACCATGAAGCCATCGCCGGAGGTGCCAGCTACACGAACAGTGCATCGCACCACATTGCGTTCGTTGGCCACGGCGGCGGCTGCCACGGCCGCTGGCCTCTGTGCGCCATCGACCACTGTATCGGTGCTCAGTCAGAGCAAGGTGTTGCAGCGGCGTGTAAGCGAAAACCAATTCGAAACCGAATCCAATTCTTGTGTATCCTCAACGTTGTATTGTGTTTGTCATTTAACCCGTATAATCCTTAACAATAATCCTCTCCTGTCACTCTGCTGATCTGAACCGCACATTAATTTCCATTTTTCCATGTCCTTTTTTTTTCTTTTAATAGTTGGGCCTGCCTCCGGATCTACAGCTGGAGTTTGTGAATGGCGGACATGGCATCAAGAATCCATTGGCTGTTGAGAATGCCCATGGTGGCCATCACCGGATACGCAACATCGATTGCATTGATGATCTCAGCAAGCACGGACACCACTCCCAGCAGCAACAGCAGCAGCAGCAATCGTCCCCCCAGCAGCAGCAGCAGACACTTCAGCAGCAGCAACAGCAATCCCTCCAGCAGCAACATCAGCAGCAGCACCAGCATCACAGCAGTGCCAGCAGCAATGCCAGTAGCCATGGCTCTGCTGATGCCCTCTGCATGGGCGGGTCCTCGGCCAGCCAGGCCGGGGATGATTCTGGGGTCAATGGAAAGTTCGTTTGCCGCGTGTGCATGAAAACGTTCTCGCTGCAGAGGCTTCTCAATCGACACATGAAGTGCCACTCGGACATCAAGCGTTACCTGTGCACATTCTGTGGCAAGGGATTCAACGACACCTTCGATCTGAAGCGGCACACACGCACCCACACGGGCGTCCGACCGTACAAGTGCAATCTGTGCGAGAAGAGCTTCACACAGCGCTGCTCCCTCGAGTCACACTGCCAAAAGGTGCATAGTGTCCAGCATCAGTATGCGTATAAAGAGCGTCGCGCCAAGGTAATTTTTAAAGATAAACTCTTTCTAAAGGAGAAGTTCTTAATCTCTGTATTTCTCTTTACTCTGTAGATGTACGTATGCGAGGAGTGCGGCCACACGACCTGCGAACCAGAGGTGCATTATCTGCATCTGAAGGATCTGCATCCGTTCTCGCCGGCGCTTCTTAAGTTCTACGATAAGCGGCACTTCAAGTTCACCAATTCGCAGTTTGCCAACAATCTGCTCGGACAGTTGCCAATGCCTGTCCACAATTGAGTTGTGGATCGTCAACAGTTAGCCCTTAGATCCCCAACTACAACTACCAAACCCCGACCATGTGACTTTGAAGTTTTCTGAAAACTGCCTCCAAGCCCCACCACAAAAACACACCCATATACCTCTTTGCTATAGCTATGGCGGAGAGGAAGAGAAAGTTAAAGGGAGGAAGATATATGGAGATTATAAATTGCACTACACAATTTTTGTATATTTTTTGCCTAGATTTAGATATAGTCGATGATATAAACAACACTTTGCTGTGCAAACAATCGCTCTAACTCTAAAACGCTCTTAAACATTTGTTTAACAATTTTCGTTTTTAGTTAATGATGAAATTCCGCCTTTGGTTGTATTATAAGTACTCTCTCTTTTTTATTGATAATTGTTATTAATATTGGAAAAACTTCTCTTAGTCAAAAACAAAACAGAAAAAAACAAATGTTTTGCCCTAAGTAGGTGTATAAGATTTCTTTTTTTTTTTTATAAATGCTTTGAGCAGACACTACACACGCACACACATACACATGAATAATACAAAAATCATGAATATATCAAATGTAGAAATATAGCTACTTTGTAAGATGTTTAGAGCTAGAAACCGAACAACAAACAAAAGCTGCAAACGATAGCATTTATTTTTTCACCGCAAAAGAGAACAAAAAACAAGAAGGGAGAAACAAGTGAACGTAAAGCCTTTCCAAAAGATACAAACACATACACATGTAATTTATTATTTAATCACACCATTAATCCATTGTAAAGAGGCAAAAAGCGGATACAAATTAAACTAAAACCTATTAAACTATAGAATTAAGAAGTAGCAGTGCGAGAAGATAGAAGAGAGAGAGAGAGAGAGATGCGAGTAAACTAAAGCTGTTCATAATTGAAGTCAAAGCCCAACAACAATAACATAATCGAAACATATTGTATCTTATATAACCATTCCGTACACTTTATATACACAAACACACCATAAATAATTAACAAAGGAAGGTTTAATTTTTATTTGAATAATTAATTTTACATTAATCCTAGCTCTTAGGAAAGACCACCAATCGTACTGATACACTGAACAAACAAAAAACACACCACAAAATGGGCGTAGGAATACAAATCGTAGGAAATCGTTAATAGTTTAAACACATAAATATAGTCTCTATACTAAGAGTAAGTGTAAAACCTAAGCTTTTCTTCAGAATTTGATTTTGATTTGAATTTGAATTACAAACAAAAAACGAACTATTATTTTTGATTTAATTGAAATTGAAATTGAAATTTTATTTTTACGCTTAGGTTTAATTGAATAGTTTTTTTTTTGTTCAATTTTTTATGTTTATAAGCAACAACGGGTTTTCATGTGCAATCGCTTGGTGTTGGTTAAACTTAAACAAAAGAAAGCAGGAGAATGGGATGGATGGAACAGTGTATCCTTTTGGGGTGAGCAGCGGTGAGACGTCGGGGGCTGTGCACTGAGGCGACACATACGCGCCCTCTGCACAGCCTCCGCAGAGTACCGTCACCCACCAGCAGGAAGGAAGAGCCTTAGATATATAGATAGATTTACGAGAGGGAGAGGGGTGTAGTGGAGCCCCCTCGTCACTCAAAAACCTTAGTTTTAATTAGAAAACTTTCACACACGCATACATATATACATATATCCGATGAGCACAAACACACACACACACATACAGATATATACATAGATATATCTATTTAGTTTAGTTCAAACAAAATATCTCCCATTCAGAATATCTTCAACTTCCATTAAAAATTGAAAATTTTATATTTTTATTTCTACGAATTTGTATGCCTCACAGAAGAAACCCTTCGAGAAGGAAAAACGCAAACCTTAATTTGGAATAACTGTACTTATCGTATGCATTACGATATATGATAAATATCTTGGAAATTTAAACGATCGAAAAATTTGAATTAGTTGATAAATGAAGAAATGTTTTTTTTTAACTATCATTTATGTATACTATATAAAGATTATGAGAATCGAACTAATTAATAAACATGGAATATTATAATAAAATGCATTTTCCATTCAAGGGAGAGATCAATGTACACAGGATTTGGGTGTTATGCTTTTCCTATGTTCCCAATTTATATTCCTCCCAATGTCCTTCTAAAAACCTGATAAATGCATCTATAAAACACTTTGTGGTTTTAGCTTACCGCACAGAAGAAAACGTTTCCGACCCCTAAGTGTACACATGTATATTCTTCATCAGCATCAATAGCCTATATCTGTCTGTCTCTCTGTCCGTCCTGAGCGTCAGCTAATTTTGGGGAGGTTCATGTGATATCACAGTGTTACAAGTGTATTTCAAAATTTGGCGCTGCTCCCCCACAAAAAAAAGGGGCAAAAATCTCCCACAGCCACAATTTTTATACCCGGTACTCGAAAAGTAAATAGGGTATATTGTATTTGTGTGAATAACGGTTGTATGTAACGCACAGAAGGAAACGTTTCCGACCCCATAAAGTAAATATATTCTTGATAAGCATCATTAGCCGAGTCGATAGAGCCATGTCTGTCTGTCCGTCTGTCCGTCCGTCCGTCTGTCGGTTTGTCCGTCTTCTTTGTCGGCTAGTTCTCAGAGACTATAAGAGCTAGAGCCACCAAATTTTGGCTCCAGACTGCTGTATGCTCACACTGAAACCAGTGTATTTCATAAAACCTTTTACTTTTCCTAGCTTTTTGATATTTTATGTTTTTAATTTATATAATAATCGAAAGATTAAGTCGTTTGTAAACGACAGTTACAAAATATTAGTTTTTATGGGTCGTCGAAAGCACTTTAGAGAAGAAAAAAGCCAAAGGATCAAAACTCCTAAAGAAGAAAGCTATCCCTATGTGAGGAAAGGAGGTAGGATCCTCATTTAAAATGATTCTTATTGCTTTAAAACATGTAAGATGCAAGAAACTCGTGAGAGAATTGGCGCAATATCTACATTTCGGTTGAAAATGCTTGGGTCTGAGTGTAAAGTGTCCCCCTTTAAAGCCGGCCACAGAGTTTAAAATAGATCTTAAAAAATTTTCAAATATAAGCAAAGATAGATTTAGCTTAAAAGAATATAAATTAAGTTTTCGAAGTCTGAGAAAAAATCTAGCTTAGCAAAGACACCATGGGGCAAAGTAAATACAATGTAGACAAAACACTAGAGCTGGCCCAAATATATATGGATATAGATCCTGTGATCCGGAGAAAGCCAAATTTTTTTTTTTTATGTAGAAACTTTAGGTCTTATGTAAAACGACTACCAAATGAAAAACACAACCCTTTGACACATATTTATATCTAATAATCATGCTGAGACAAGAATCATGGTATGTGCATGCCCTTAGGATTATGGAGGTGGTAAAGTACCCGTGCTGGAATCGATGATGAATCAACATGGCTATGTTATTATAAAATAAAACAATAATGCTGCCTTTTATGCAATACATAATGCCGTTAGTTGTGTCTTTTCATCAGGGAAATGACCCAAAACACACCAGATAGAGAGCTCTAAGGGGTTTTAAAACAGTGAGTTTTATGCAATGTTTTCTCTTGCTCAGTCCCCAGATATGAACCATACGGAAAATCTTTGGGTAACAGTTAAGGAATATGTTTCTAATAAGAAATCAAAGATAAACTGAATCCCCCAGGAAAGGCGCAAAAATAGGGTTACATTTTATGACAAGACTCTCAGCCTTCTTGTTTGCTGCCAAAAGCTTTAAAACAAATTATTATCCTTTAAATACAATTAAAGTAAACTATAGTAATGAAAAATGTGGGCAATTTCTTATCAATTTGAAGTTTTTTGAGCTTTTATAAAATTTGTGCTATTTTTGTTGCCGCCCAAATACTGGAATAATTCCTTTTCCTTTCAAATATTTCCAACTAAAGCCATCAAAGCATACCGTTTCTCTCGGATAAGTTGAATTAAGCCTCAAAGTCGATATAATAGTTTTAAAAACCATCATTAGAACCATTGTTTTAACAAAATATCCCAAAGAAAAAAATTATTTTCATGGTGCTATTTTAATCGCCGCAGCTGTATATATGTAAATGACAAAATAGGACGACTATTAAATTCGAAAATACAACTAAAAAATATAACTATTTAAAGGATTGGAGCGAGTTCGTTGAACACATTCATGAATAAGTATCATCTGCTTCCTCTTCTGAGGTACCTTCCTCCTTCTAATCTTGGAACTCCTCGTCAGACTCTTCGAACTCCACCTGATAATCCTCGAACTCCTCCTCGAACTCTTCCTCGTCCTCCTGACCGTCTTCCTCCCCGTGCCCCTCCTCCCCGTGCTCCTCATCGTTCTGCACCAGTCGTGGCACACCATTTACATCGAAGAGCCGTCTCGCCATTTTTATACCCGGTACTCGAAGAGTAAATAGGGTATATTGTATTTGTGCGAATAACGGTTGTATGTAACGCACAGAAGGAAAAGTTTCCGACCCCATAAAGTATATATATTCTTGATCAGCATCAATAGCCGAGTCGATAGAGCCATGTCTGTCTGTCCGTCTGTCCGTCCGTCCGTCTGTCGGTTTGTCCGTCTTCTTTGTCGGCTAGTTCTCAGAGACTATAAGAGCTAGAGCCACCAAATTTTGGCTCCGGACTGCTGTATGCTCACACTGAAACCAGTGTATTTAAAAAATTAGCCCCGCCCCCTTCCGCCCCCGCAAAAGGGCTAAAACCTCCCAAACCTAAAAATGTTAAGATAAAAGAAAACTAAAAACGCTATTCCGTAGGGAATGGCCATATCTATCAGATCGCCAAATTGGGATCCGATTGGATCATTAGTATAGACACAATGCAGAAATTCATTTGCAGTGGCTAAACCCACCATGTTTTTTTTCACATTCTCTCATTCACACTCTGCTTCTGCAGTGTGCGGCCTTCTGCCTCTGCCGCTGCTCTGCCTATGACTTGGATCTGTAGTGTGTGGCTCTAGGGGAGGGGGACGAGCGAAAATCGCGTGTTGGCGTCAGAAGTTATGTAGATGTAGATGTAGATGTTAGGTGTAGAAAAAATGTAAAATGTCAAATATAAAATTCTAAAAAAAACAATATGGTACAGGACTGAGTGCCGGGTATAAAAGTTGTGAAGCGTAAGATGCGTCTCACACGTCCCTTCTCGTTATTAACTGTAAAGAACAAAAAATGGAATACAAATAATAATAATACAAAATCTTACGTTTTTGATCTTACCGCTTGGCTAGCACAGACGGAACAGAGTTTTATAAGGGATCTCCGTATGGAGTGGCACAAAAATATTGAGAATCGCCTACTTTCTTGACATTTAATGATTAAACAAAACAAATTTCCAAACATGAATGAATTTAGGGTGATTTTAAGCGGAGATTTATTCAGTATAACCCACTGATTTATACGACTTTAGTTCCAGATTCCAATCGAGAAAAGGCAGAAGAATGCTGAGCAGCAGAAGCTTTAAGAGACACCCCCCCGCCAAAGTCCCTGTTTATGGTCAGGACCACAGACCAGGTTGCTGCTAGGTTTCAGCTGGGGCCAATGTTACTGCAGCATCTCATTTGCAGGTAGCTCTCTTTATTATACCCGGTACTCGAAGAGGAAATAGGGTATATTGTATTTGTGATAAAAGGTGGATGTATGTAGGGCATAAGTAGTTTCCATAATTAGTTATGTTATTCTAGCGTTTTCTCGTTTTTAGAGTGTGATCTTTTATCGCTCTTGTAAAAATGTAATCTTATTCAAACTTATCTCCTCCTCTGTCTGCTGTGGCCTATTCGATGCCCAATCCCTTGAGACCTGGCAGATTGCATGTGCGGTTTCGTTGTCACCTGACACCAGAGGCAACAAACCTGCCCGAACAACCCTCTTCACTGGGCAATAAAATATACAGATCCGGTTTCAGTAGATCTTCACACCTTCAAGCTTAACCTTTGTGCGGACTGACAGAAACGCAAAGCGGTCGAGGGGAGCTACGGCATGACGCGTC